GCTCCACACGAACACGGTAAGCACAAGCGGCATCAAATGCACAAGACATCGTTGCATGAAGAGGAGCTAAGACACAGCCTTGCTTCACACCAGAGACAAATGCAAAGTCGTCCAAGGTCTCTGCACTCAGCTGCACCCTCGCCCGTATACCACTGTGCAGACATTCAATTAAACTTACAAACCCACCAGCTGGCTATGGAGTCGATCGGATATTGAAAATCCGACCCCATGATCAGGTGGTGCTGAGGCGGCGTCGCCCACCCAGTAGAATGTGTAGCCAGCACCTGCTTCATGCAACTTACCTTGCTCATTGTGCCGGGTTTTACTGAGCGCCGCAATATCGATGTGGTAGCGCGCGAATTCCAGCGCAAGGAGTGCAGTGCGTCGCTCCGGGCGCTCGCTGGAGTTCCGGTCCAGTAGTGTGCGCACGTTCCAGCACCCGATGCTGAGTGCTTTGCGCTCAGGCCTACTATTGCATTAGTGGGCAACCGCACGCGAGGTGGTCGTTGTGCTTCGGAGGTTTGCTTGAGGGACTCCTCGCGGAACCTTTAGCGCAATAGCCTGACTCACAAGGCAATGGGTGGTTTGGAGGTTTGCTTGAGGGACTCCGCCCGGAACCTTTGGCTCAATAGCCTGACCCATAAGGCAGTGGGTGATTTGGAGGTTTTCTTGAGTGACTCCGTCGGAGCCTTTAGCTCAATAGCCTGACCCACAAGGCAGTGGGGAGCTGATCCAGCTCGGGAATGTGATGGCAGAGACAGATTGGGATCTGTTTGACGGCCGTCACACCCAACCTTGGAGGTACTGGGACGATGTATTTATATTTCGCAACCGTAGTAGGATACACCTGCGACCACGGCCAGACGCAGGTGGGTTTTGGCAGGTTTGCACCAATTTGACCAGGGGCTGCCTGGCTTGAGGCGGGCAGTAGGAAACCATTGAACACCCGGAGGTGCCCCCCACCGACGGTCAATGCGTGGCGTTCGTGCTCTACGCCAATCGAGCTGTGAGCTTGTAACCCGTAGACCTGTTGTCTCCCATGGTTAGATTTTACGGGAAGAGGGCCATCGACCACTTCCTAACCTCCGAAGAGGATGGTCTGGGATACTGGCTGAGCGCCCACACCTGACAGGAAAACGACTCGGGTCCTCAGCCAAAGCCTTCGATTAAATGAACACCCGAAATGCGTCGGGTCTAGCACATGGTCAGTTCACTGACTCAGGCGGATTGATGTCCTGGATCTTAGCAGGGAGAAGGGCGAAACCCAACTCCCACCCAGCGGTCGCCATGAGGATTCACCCAGGACATGAGCCAATGGCACAACAGTAGCAGCAGTGGGTAGACCATCTGTCAGGATCTAGCCACCACCAGCCTCAGCGCACCATAAGCTCTCCCGCCATCTACTTCTGTACTGACATCCATACTTACATCCATATTGCATTCAACTCGAATGATCGACATGCTGTGCCTCGTTTTTTTTTGAACTACGCGGTACCAGATAAGTATGCTGTCATCATAAACACGCCGTATCTTTATGTCTAGTAGTGAGGGTTTACGACAGCCTCTCTTTATCCTTCGCCGCTAATAGCGGTGTACAGCAAAGCTGTCTTCTCTCCCTGTTCCATTTTGAGATTAAAGGCGTCCTGTCCAAAGCTCTGGAAGGTCAACAGAATTTTAACTTGTAGCTTGTATCATGCAAGCGAGCGACCAGCTCCAATTACGCCGATGACATTGCCTTGGTGACGGCCCCCGTGGTATGCTTGCCATTCCGAACCTGTTATGTTTCCGCTGACAGTACGGATAACCGATGCAGTCACTTTGGTCACGATACAGCCATTTCCCAAATCAGAAGACGAAGGACTCTGGCGGAACTTGTATGGAGCACCCGGAAGACAGAATGTACCTCCAAAACGGGGTCAGAATAAATATTTCATGAGAGAAAAGGCTTAATTGAAAGTCCCTGACTATAGCAACTACCAGATGCGCAAATAGTCTCTTTTTGGTTGATCAAATAGTACACTTACTGGATGGCTTCAAGGCAGCTCATTCTGATTAGTCCAGTTCAAGCTAAAACGATGCTAATGACTTATTCTCATTGGCTAGCCAATCAGCTACAGGCGGCATATAACCAATCTTCTCCGGGATGCTTCACTCAGAGAGCTGGTTTCAAAGGATGCTACCGATGGCTTCGTGTAACAGAACCGTTAGGCGATGAGATATCTAAGTACCGAATGTGCTTCACCCTGTTGAAGTGTAAAGTGCTGCTCCTGCATTGGCGCTCACTGATACCTGTGCTCACTTTTGTGGGCATATGGCTTGAACAACCATATACCTTTGTCTACCTGGAGCGCTGCGTGTCTTCTGGTGGTACTATTGAGACAAGTTTCCGCATCGCCAAAGATCGGTCGGTATTATTCCATTTGATGTACTTAGGGCGTGGTAGTAATATCTTGCTCTGAATAAATGTTCAGGTTTACGGTGATTGTGTTCGAGCGGTTTTGTCGTTTGGAATCAGTCGTAGCTACTTCGCGTATATGACATGCGCTCGCTTTCTGCATTCGACAATGAATGCCTGAAAAACATTGCTCGTGTGTCATGGCAACATCTGCAGTGATGAATTTAGACGTCGTGTCTTAGGGAATGCGAGTATTCCCCACCACGATCTGGCCATGTTCCACCAATTGAGATGACTCGGTTACGTCCTGTGTATGTCATCTGCGGGTTTACCCCATTATGTTTTGTATATGGTGCATGTTTGCGCTGTAAAAGACCGCGTGATCAGCAGCCGTCTACCAGCCGACGGGGTGTGAGATCGCTGAGTTCACTTTGAGCTACCGTCGGATCATGCCCAGTTGGGGACCCAAAAACGAGCAATACAGATGGATTGAGACGCCCCCAAAAATAGCGTGCGACCGAACTCGGTGCTGGGTAGGTAATTATTTGGATTTGGGTGTTTGTACCACATAAATTGAAAATGAAAAAAAAACTGGAAAAGCGGTGGGTGAAACGGAGCAAAACGTATTCTATTTTCTTTTATGATAATTGTATCTGTTGGCCCGTAGCCTTAAGGATTACAAGTCGGCCTGGTGATCCGACGGCGCGGGTTCGAGCCTGCATAGGGACCGGGCGACATTCGCAGTATCCTTAGCCCGCGTGCGATTGTTTGTGGTTGGCCGGCAGCGGTGTCTCGGCACTGCGTACCAGCGTACTGCTGATGCCTTTTTTGTATCTGTCATATTTCTTTCATTTTCGTCTTTTTGGATATATACTTGATGGTAAGATACTACATTTAGATGCTCGTCGTTTAGCGCTATCGGTCGAGCTTAACGATTTTGAGCCAACATTCTGAAAGCCGGTCGATCGCTGCAGAGGCGAACTGAAGGAAAGCATGCACTCGATTTGCATCGACATTGAACGAAGCTCGAACGCTGGCCAAGAATGTAATAAGACGGAGATTTGTTCTGCATCTGTGAGTGATTCTGCTTGACTCGAGATATGAAATGAGTTTACGTTCTATGAATAATGCATTTCTGCTCGAGGCCCAGACTTTGACTTTTGATGCTCGGAGGGCCATTTGACATGGTGACAGAGGTGCTGACGTACCAGACCCCGCTCGCCTTTGATGAACAATCATTGATCCCACTGCCGCATCCTCTACAAATGACAGCAAGCACATTACCGGATAGCTGGAGGGTATGGCAAGCGGAATGGATGGATTTCGCTACACTGATCTAGTTAGATGAATATTCGGGATCATATCAATTAGCGATGTTCAAGTACTGCATCGATGAGGATGCGCGACGGATATTAGAAGAATGGAACTGCGATTATGACCAGGAATCGGAATTTTCAGAAATGATCGAGAGGTTGGGTGCTTATTGTGAAGGCCGTTCGAACCTCTTCACTCGCTGCTGCCGATCGCCTAAGGTTAGCTCACTTAACCTTGAAAGTCCGCAAGAAACGCATGAGATTTCAATAAATAACAGGTGGAATCGCGCAGAGCGTGGACAGATTATTGCGACATCATCAATTCATGGACAACCACTACCACCACAGACTGCTTCTGGAGCCATTGTAAATTTGGGACGCGTGATAATTTCTACTAATGGTTGGCGAGACCATCTTCGAAAGCAATTACAACGGAGAACAACCCATCACAAACACAGACCAAGACATACTTAATCTCTTGAATCTGGAGAGGAAGTATATTTAAAACCGATGCGTAGAGCTGAAGAGCATCAGAAGAGAAGAGCCGCTGTGAGTCGGGAAAGAAATGGAAACTATTGAGTGCGGCTAAAAGGCGATACGGTGGATAGTCTCTTCACCTTGAACAGAAACCGGCTCTCCAGAATAAGCCAACTAAGATCATAGACAAACTTTGAAAGCTCTCCCGTAGTGGAAGACAATACGGAAGCTGCAACACGTGAACTATAAAAAAAAGAAAAAAGGGAGGATGTGATTGTAAGATATTACATTTAGATGCCCGTTGCTTAGCGCTATCGGTCAAGCTTAAGGGTTTTGGGCCAACAGTCTGAAAGCCGGTCGATCGCTGCAGAGGCGAACTGAAGGATAGCATGCGATCGATTTGCATCGACATCGAACGAAGCTCGAACGCTGGCCAAGAATGTAATAAGACGGAGATTTGTTCTGCATCTGTGAGTGATTCTACTTGACTCGAGATATGAAATGATTTTGCGTTCTATGAATAATGCATTTCTGCTCGAGGCCCAGACTTTGACTTTTGGGTGCTCGGATGGCCACTTGGCAATATATATATATATATATATATATATATATATATATATATATATATATATATATATATATATATATAAACGTTTGTGAGGTTAACCTAATCTTTGACTCCATGTTTTGCTAAACTTCTCGCTTTTTGTTAATCCGTCACATATTACTGCTATCCATTTGCTTCATCGCTTCCACGCAAAGCAATTCCTTTGTGATATCTTCTAATATCCGTGCGAATACTCGTGTCTTTTCAGGTCCAACCTGAATACTCTTCAACTCCTTGCGTGGAACTGGCTTAATCCATTGGTTCGTTTCTTCATGTGTTGAATTGTGATCACTGGATTCAGAGCAGTCGTTATAGAACCACGGTTGTCGTCGGAATAATGCAACCCATCGATTTGCTTGGTCAACACCCATGTTCCTGGCTTACTCCTCTATTCACATTACCACTTTCACATTTCCTGTATCTATGTTGGAAAAGATACTTTTTTAACTACTTTTGACCGCTTTTTGTTCTGATGAGCCTACACTAGCTTTCTTGTTTTCAAGGTTGTGAAACCCCCTTAACCACTGTAAATGCCTTCAGTAAGTCAGTGGCCGGAGGGATAAGGCGCCTGCATCGTTAAGGTTACCGGTTCGAATCTGTGCACTTGCTAATTACCTGGCAATATACCCAGCTCACTCACGACTGGTGGTGTTGGTGATCACCTTGCAACGAAGCGTCGGTAAGGTGTGCTGGTGTACTTTTTTTCTTTTTTCGTACTACTTTTAGCTGAGCCATCCTTCCGTTTCTGTTAATTTATGTTAAAACTACCTACGAGCAGCTCTATTGTTTGATTTTTCCTGCTTTTTTACTCTAATCTACTTGCTTGTTCTCCTTAATCATGTGAGTCGCCATCCCACCACATCCACGCCCCCTGAGCTAGTTCGTACCACACTCAGGTCTCATCCATACGATCTTCCTTTCTATCGAATCTTTCCTATATATCACTACTTTATCGTCTCCTCTCGTGTAAGATGGTTGTCAGGTAGACGCGGAACAAGCTAGCTGTCTCGGTGGTGCCGTAACCATATGTGGCTGACTAGGTGTCAATACATTGACGCTGAATGTTTGCTTGGGGCATATAGGTTTTTAACCAGGTTTCCCTTCTCCCCTTATTATTATCCACCCACTAGCTCAGCGCGATTTTACGATAGCGAATCGTCAATAAATTGGCGCTTCGCTGATGTAGTGTTCTTGATGCTTATGATGGTTGCGAATTCTTCCTTCATAATTGGAATCTGGCAACCTACGACCAGCGTAAGCATTAGTACACGAATCAATGTAAGGTCCAGGTTGCAATAACCTGATTTGGGCCGAATTAGTCTTCCCTGGGTGTCCACCATGCACTGCACCCACTTATAAGGAAACACTGTTAGTCCCCGAGCTTTTTCTCCTCACTGTTCACCACACACACTATCGACTTCAATTTAAGTCCGTTTAAGTAACGCGTTTCACCGTGCTTTCTCGTATTAGACTTGAGAATATCTCCAAAATCCGTCTCTTCGTTGGACGTACGATCACATAGTGGCATAATGGGCTGGTGTCACGAGGTCGTGGGTTCGGTTTCTAGTGGAAGTGTAGGCTGTTGGTACGCACCGTTGACCAGTCCCAATGGGGAGAAATAACCGTGTACTGCCCTTCTGGACCCCGTTTGTTTGCGAAGAACTCTCAGTAGATCACAATTTGTCAGTGCTGCTTGCTGAAGTAGCCGTTGCGTTGCTCGAATTACCTATCCTTCACCTGAAGATCAACAGAACTTGGTTTCTGCATCGTATATATGTCGATGCTCAATTCCTTGCTCTTCTCCCCTCACTATTATTACGCCCGACTACGACGCATGGGGTGGAAAAAGTGGGTACATCTTCACTCGATTGGATCTCATGCGTCAATTGATGGGCGTTTTTTGGTTATTTTAGCTGTGCAACCGGTACTACCCTTGGCTTTAATTCCTTGTTCCGACCTTATTCACGTAATCCACCCTACACATTCTCTGAATAGTTTGCTAACTGTGTCTGCTAGACATTGTTTTGAGCATGATTATCGCTCATCTTTCTTTTTGGGACGCATTCAACGATTCTTTTTCTTTCCACTGTTCTGATCCTACTTCTTCAAAGTACAAATAGTTTTATGCGCTTGGTTAGGTTCATTTTCAGCATTTTACGCTGCGTGGATGGGAAAAATACAAATACTTAATGGCTAAAATCAACAAAAGTGTGAGCGTATCACTCAAGCAAACATTTGTCGTGATAAGTGCAATAGGATGGAATTGGAGTAAGATGCAGTACGACAAAATAAGACTCTAAATTTAGAGTATGTAGAAAAAACCAGTAGTGCTTACGATAGATCATCATGTGGTTGCTAGAAAGAGTCGTTCAGAACTTTGAAGGAAAAACTAGTCAAGCATCTTCATGCTTGTTGATGCTAAAATTAATATGGACCTCTTTAGTCAATCCGCCGCATCTGGAAACAAGTTTCAACAACCGTACCAGTAATATGTAGTCATTTTGAATAGCTCAGCATAACTTACTGGGGAGCAATAAGTTTGAGGCAGAATGCATGCAGTCACAAATTTTAAAATCAAATCACGAGGTACCGAAATCATTTTGATTCTGAGGGCATAAAAGGATAGTCTTCTAAGCTTGTGAAACCTTCTGGGGGCATTTTTAGACCAGGATAGGTTTTTGCATAAAATAACTCACAGACATTCGATGCTTGACGTTCAAACGAGCACAAACCCACTGTAGCACACCGCAGCTGAGACGGGCAGAGGAAGATCATCTCTTCAACCTGTTCAAGCGGAACTCGTACCCAAATGGCTTCATTCTACGTTGCCTCGCATCACAAAAGGTTACTCAACACACCTCGACAAATGTACCAACTGGAAAGAGAACAACACTTCCCTATATCAACGGTATCTCTGAAATGGCAGCCAGGCTTTTATTGCCTTTTGGAGTCAAAGTTGCACACCAGCCAATGGAAACCATTCTCAGTAAACTTTTCAAGGTGAAAGATAAACTTAGCAAAGAAGAAGAAACTGGTGTGATTTATAAGATTTGCTGTCGGAACTGCGACAAGTACTACCTGGGACAGACTGGGAGAACGCTTGGCACAAGGCTACGCGAACACAGCCTAGCCATACGTCGCCACGATCAGAACTCCCTGATGTCAGTGCACATGGATGCTGAGAATCATCAATTCGACATAGAGCATACCAGTATCCTCGGAAGGGCTAAAAACCGGCAAGCACGTGAGTTCATTGAAGCCTGGCATTCAAAGCAGAACTCGATCAATAAGCACTTGGACATTGAAATCGCTTACGAGGCACTGCGAACCAGACCCCTGAAACCGCACTGATGATGTTGCCTAGTCAGGCAACGAAACGTCTGCACAATAATCACTCAGCTCGGAGAACCGCTCAAAATCCGCATCCACACCCCGAGCTACGTATATTCTCATTTAGTTCTGGGTATGAGTTGGTCACTCTCTACAAGTGAAGAAGTGGCATTCAAAACCGCTTGTACCTTATCAGCCCTGAACATTTAAGTGTTCTGAATAAAAGCCCAGGACGACGACTACAGCAAAAACCCATCCAGACCCCTCTTTAGAGTGGATATCTCAACGCTAGGGGGCATGCTTGCATTAAGTAAATTTGAAAAGTGTAGCAAGTTTTTCGTTAAAATATTAGAGAAGGAGAAATAATGGCTCTTTGTAAAGCACTACGATCCGAGGAAAGTGCAGAGAAATTTTTACCTTTAAGCTGGATGAAGTGGGTACGGTTTGTAAACTAATCCTTAATTACGCTACGGACATTTGTTTGAACGCCATTCATGAGTAGTATTGGTCTGTTGATGCTCCTGAAAGCATTTGCATAGTAAAGAAACTGCAACATCCATCGTGAAGTGGTTACTTTTATAGGCAAACTAGTATCCATCGTCTACCTGGGTGCGTGTGTAAATCTGAGGAACAAGCAGTATCTCGAAGACTTTCACATTACCGCATTACGTGCTTTCGGACGATAGTTTTGAGACTCCTTCTTAGATATCGTCGTTACTTGTACGGGTCTCAAATTGTCAGGGACTGTGCCCCTCATAAGACACCGGTTGAACAGAGAAGTTCAGGGTACAGCGAGATAACTCACGCACTCCTTTCGAACGAGTATTGATAAAGCATTAGATCCAACAGCCTTAGTTATCTTCAACTTTTTGAGTTCCCTTTAAACGGCGAGGCGATCAACTGTGATTGCGGAACCTGTGTTGGTGAAGAAGGGCACAGGAAACATGCATTGTAGGAAAGAACGGAACGCAGCATACAGTCTGTTCACATCGACGTTATCAAGACGCTTCAGGGAACTCCTGCTACATAGCTGCTTTAAAAACCTCCGAAGCTCGCGATAATCTTGCTTACCTAGCACTGTTTCAATGTATAAACGATTCAATCGCATTATCTCTCGTTTTAATGCCAATATTGGTCGTTTAACCTGGGCAGACATTTTGAATTTTATGCCCGTTCCTTCTTTCGTCAAAGATAATCTGTATATGCGTTGTTAGATAGTTTCAACAGAGCAGCATAAATCAAAGCTTAAGTTGATGTATCCGGTAAAGTGTTCACACTTCAAAGATGGGTTTTCGTCCGTGAAGATTGCAAAGTCAATTGAAGTCAGCGTCTCATGGAGTTTCGTGATATTTTATGTCGAGCACTCTCACCGTCTAATGGTTTTGAAAGACTATCAAAAATACCATTTTGATTTTACTGTACTTGACTGTGCGTATCTTCAGGATGCGGTGTTCTGAGTTGCAAAGAAGAGCTCGCCGCAGTTTGCCCAAATAATTACTAGAAAACATTAAGCCGCAGTCATGGAACTGACATCCAATCCAGAGATCATACTTTCCCGACCGGATAAAGGACCAGGCTGGGTACTAATGAGTAAGTTGGATTACATGTCGAGGATGCAAATTATCTTGAGTGACTCCAGCAAATTCATGCTGGATCCGATACAAAAGGATAGCTCCATACTGGCTGAGACTAAAATTATCAACTTGCTGAAAGAATTAAAATGCTGTAACCATATTGATGATACTTTGCTTGACCGGTTAACCCCTTGCGGCTCGCAGCCACCTCGACTATATGGCGTGCCAAGAGTGCACAAAGCTATCGTCCCGATACGGCCGCTAATCGATATGCCAGGATCTTTTATGCACTCAGTTGCCAAATGGTTAGTCGAACTACTTGAACCACTGCACAAGGAAGTATCAAGCTACACGGTAAACGACACGTTCGAATTCATTAAACGAGTAGAAGAATTAAACCTGAAGAACAGATTGATGCTATCTTTCGACGTAGAATCCCTCTTCACAAACGTTCCATTAATAGAAACTGTCGATTATATTTGTAGGCAGCTGACGAAGAAGAAGAACTTCGCTATTGGTATTCCAGTTCAGTGCAACAAAGAGGTGATGTTA